GTTTCTCCCCCACCACAGAAAACCCTAGTACATAGGTTTATGCCATGCATATCTGTGAAATCAGTGCAAATGCTTTCCACCACGAGATGATGCGAAGCGACTCTGAGTTTTTTCAGACTAGCATCTACGAAATCGATCAGATCATTCATGAAAAGGAATTGGACGAGGATGCAGAAACACTTCACCTCATCCAACAGAAACTCCCGCATATGCACCGAAGCTATGCCAATGTCTTTTCGAAGTCGGAATCAGATCGGATCCCTCCACACCGCATATATGACCATAAGATACAGCTCGAAGCTCCTTTACCAAACGCCTTCTCCCCGCTATACCGACAAGGCACTGAAGAGCTTAAGGCTACCAAGCAATACCTGCTGGAAAACCTGGAAAAGGGATTCATCGTCAACAGCAACAGCCCCTTCGCATCCCCTATCCTATTCGTAAAGAAAGCGGATGGCAAATTAAGATTTTGCATCGATTACCGGAAGTTAAATGGTCTCACCCGGAACGATCCCTACCCCATTCCGCGTATCGACGAACTACTAGGACGGGTGTCGAAAGCCAAAATCTTCACGAAGCTAGATATCAGACAAGCCTTCCATCATATATGGATGCACCCTGACTCGGAAGAGTACACGACCTTTCAGACTCGCTATGGATCCTATAAGTGCAAAGTGCTGCCATTTGGACTGACGAATGGTCCCGCAACCTATCAGCGGTATATGAATGACGTCCTGATGCAATACTTAGACGACTTCTGTACCGCAAACAAAGCACCTTCCCGATGCGCACGACAAAGTTGTTCTGGACACAATTACCAGCCAACATTCTGATAACAAAGAACGCTCCGTTCACGGATACTATTCAGAGACGTTGCGGACATGATACTACCGCGTGCCTTGCGGACAAAGCACTCTCTCAGGAGGGGGGTAGTGTAAGGATGCCTGATGCCTGTCCCTCAGTGATGGAAAGGATCTGAGTCAGGCAGGTTACGGTCACATAATGAGGGTGAAGGCAGGTTAGCCGAGTCGGACCCGTTTTGGGTACTTAAGGAGATCGACCCAACAGGGGTTCCTCTCTTCATCTTTTTTGTATCCTTCATAGTAGACCTATAGGATAGCATCCGTTTAGCCTCCAAGTCGCACTCTCATATGCTATTACTGTGAGCTGGGTGCCCTGTGTCCTTACATTTTGAACTCCATGCTGCTTACCTGTCTTGAACACCGAGTGATATGATTCTCACAGTATACCTTAGAAGGCCTCTTGAATACGGCCACACAAGCTAAGATGGCAAGGTACACCAAGATGCCGACAATGTATGCCGAATATAAAACAGTTGTATATTTCAAACTGTCATTCGTGATTTGGGAAGCACTCCCGGCAACGAATTGACCATAAAGTGCGGCATAGAAGCTGAACGCTATCAAAGCGAGCACCCGAAGAAGTCCTATTAAGGCATTGGAGAAGAAAGCAAGCTTTCCACTGCCGTGACTCATGTCTTCAAGGATAGTACGCGTGATAATGGCGACTATCATGATATCGCCAACCAGAGAGAAAAGGCATTCAAAGATGAAGGCAATTACGAATTTTTTATCTGTATGGTAGCATGACTCTAGCATGGTGGTTCTTATAGCCACAATGAGTAGATGTCTAAACTCAACAGCTAGTTAAACTTCAAGGTTCAATGGATATCGCACAAAGGATAGGACATGCAGAAAGCAGCAAAGAGATATCCAGAGTTTCGTAGCTTGTCTGTTCCCTTCTCTCGAATCCTTTCGAACCGCCTTGTGAGAATCATACACAAAAGACCCTATTACTGACCCAGAAGCCAAATCTGAGAGCCAGTATGAGAGCGCAACTGAGGGTGGGAGTGGTCGTGGGAGTGAGAGTGAGCGTGAGAATGAGGACAAGGAGGGCTATGATTTTCATCGCAAATAGGGCATTAACTGTTGCGTCCTAGGTCATTTGTTAGCTAATCTCGAGAAGTTGGGCTTTGAGTTCTGTTTACTCACCCGCCACGTATAACTAGCCAAACCACCGATGGACGTATTGTAATTTGAATTTTTTGATCCACCACTGCCATAATCATAGTCGCCATAACTGCTGCCACTGCCACTACCAGTACCATAATTGTGGAATTCTCACTCCGTGCCTGGGATAAGGGGCAGCGATGCCGCCCAGGCCGCCAAGCGCCAACCCGGGGCCAAGCCCAGTATCACCCAACTCAGAAGATAAAACTGGGCACCACTGCTCTGACTAGCTCGGAAGCAGAGTTTTTCTGCTATATAAAAGTAACTGTGGGGGGAAGTGAGTGCGTCCACTCGCTTATGAGAGGAAGCAAGTGCGTCCTCTCAAATTGCGACTGTAAGTACCCAACCATAGTAATTTATATGTAAAAGTACTTAAAATTTCAATTCTACGAAATTATCAATTCTTCATTCTATCCGGAGGAATTGGGAGGCCCGATTTAGTGAGCTGAGCTATGCTCTTCTTCCGGAGGCGCTCCCATTTCCGGGCTTTGATTCCTGCCCAGTGGAGCTGCTTCTGGGCTCGGGTTTGGGCCTGGCTCAGTTTCCGAGCTTCTGCGGCAGCGAGCTTCTGGGCCTGAAGCTCAGCTTGCTGGGCCTGAAGCTCGTGGGCTTCAGAAGCCTTGAGTTCACCTCCACACTGGAGTCAGTCCCGGCCCCCCCGCTGCTTCTTCGAGTTCTTGACCTGCTGCCGAACAGCCCGTAGGTCGAGTTCCTGGAGCTGGCCAGCAGCCAGAACCCGGGCTGCCCCAGTAAGCCAGTTGCTGTAGCTCTGCCTTGAGGGGCCACTAAAGGCCTCCGGAACCCGCTCCTTCCACTGCTGTAGGCCCTGTTCTACGCCCTGGAAAGTGGAGGGAATAGGGGTAATAGGCCATGGTAGGGTAGGTGTTGTAGGCTCTGTAGGCTGCGTAGGCTGCAAGTACGTATGCAGCTTCTCAAGGGCTGTATTACAGCTTATAGGCCAGATTCCAGCTTTCCGGAACGCTGATTGTATGGTAGATTCCTTAAAAGTCTGCTCCCGCATTTGTGGGAGATCTCTCATAAATCGGGGTAGGTTATAGGTGATGTCCACTTCCCGTATAGCACGGAGCACAGCCTGCCTATGCCAGTGCTTATAAGGCTGGAATATTCCCACGTCTAATGGCTGTGAAATGTGTGTAAGGTGGCTGGGAAATACCTGTAAGATGATGTGATATTCGGCTGCCACAATGACGAACCCAGGGCTCGTGTGGCTCACATGAGAGAGTAGTAGAACCTTGGGAGTTCCTGGGTTGTGTGGAGCAGTAAGCTCTATGAAGTGCTGTAGAGCAAGCTGGCTATTAGAATAGCCAGTCTCTGAGAGCAATATCAGCTCATTTCCACTGAGGTTTTCAGGGTACCATGCTGCCATATGGATTTTACCCGGTACAACAAGTACAGGTGCAATCTTCTGTCCAGCTGCCTCTATGATCGTAATAGATATACGATTCTCAGGTCTCGGAGTATAGAGCTGCTTTACAGCTTAGGGGACCATAACTCTCTCTCCCCTGGAAATCAGTTTTCCAGCATTCTGACCGCCTGGTTCCCGGATTGGCTCACAGGTTCGGTGGTGGTGCATAACCGTATGCAGCCACCGAATCCTATCACATATTGGGCGCCAACGCCCTTCTTGTTAGGGTCTTGGGCTTGCCCATGAAGCCTACAAATATATATGTAGGCCCATTAGATAGCGTAATTAATTCAATTTGATCGATTTACTCTACATACTGCCCTTGATTGTGATACTCGCTGGCGCTGCCCAGAAGTGAGCATTTCGGGTACCAGAGAACCCTTACAATTTGGGTGTGATCCCCGGTCAGCGTAATACACTCCAACAATTCTTGACTGTATAGTCGACTTTGGGACCTTAAAAATCCGACTGGCAGCACCTACAGATTCAGAGGGGTTTGCTGCCAGCCATTCACAGGCATTTGATAGAGGTGTCCCTTCCATTAAATGAATTACATTTGATTACTATATAAATTACTATGTGTAGGAATGTTCGAGGTTTTGGTAAAGAGTAGCGGTGAACATACGCAAGTTGAGAGGACGCAGTTGCTTCCTCTCGTAAGCAAGTGGACGCACTCGCTTCCCCCCACGGTTAGTTACAGTAGCTAGATGAATAAAAACATGCTTTCACAGATCACTGTTCTGAACCTGGTTGAGAACCTGTAATTATCATATTATTCTATTATCACGGACCGCTACCAACACCTACAAGTTCAACAATAATCATAGTTGCTACCTCCTCTTCCACTGCCACTGCCGCTGCCACTGCCGGTACCAGTACCATAATCATAGTTGGTGTTACCACTGCCAGTGCCAGTACCATAATCATAGTCTTCATCACCACCAGTGCTACCTCCACCATAGCTTCCTCCGCTGCCTTTCTTTGGTGCCATTGCACAGACGTGTACAGTGGCTGCCTTGTGGTGATTCGGATGATTTTCTCTGGGAAGACTTGACAATTTCGCACTTCGCGCCAAATCGACTGGACAGGTAGCGAACAATTTTCAGACAGGAGGCCATTTTCAGATAGGAGGACACTCAAGAACCAGAACTGTAGGGCTGGTTAGGGTAGATCATCGGATAGTGAATACGCCGAGCTTATTGCTGGTCAATGGGTCTACTGGGATTTGACAGCATGCCTAATTGGTGCCAAGCGAGGCGAAGCTCCATGTGCTAACTTATGCACAAACAAATTCAGCCTTGCCGATCAAATGCCATACCAACTTCTCCTAATTTCAGCTCATTTTATTTCACATAGCTATGTAAAACATTGGGCTATTACGAGCGGCGCAGCAACTTGTGGCGACTGTTAGTGCCACAGTGAAAAAAGCAAACAGTCTATAATTATTCGACTGGTTACGGAGCTAGGGCTATTCGCATCGCCCATTTGGAACTATTCGCATTATAGGGCATTCTTGCGACCTCCACAGACATCAAGAGATATAACTATGCACTCCACTCAGAAGTCTCATACCTATCAACCAGCGCCACATACTCCTCACCCGCAGCAACCCACCCCTTAATCCCGCCCGTAAGCGTACAGCTCTCCATTTCACCCTCCTTGCCCTGGCTCTTGATATAATCCTGGAACCACCCCGCTGCACACCCTCCACGGCCAAGTGACGAACCTGCCAATTATCAGTTTACAGGTTCCCCATCTCTAATAACCCTCAGAACTACTCACCACAGTACCAAACGATCGTCTTGACCCCCGCGGCGGAGAATAGGTTGAACAGCTGCGGAATGTTGGGGTAGAGAGATTGCGCTGAGAGGTTGATGGATCCACGTATCGTTCCGCCCTGAGATTGTCAGCTCCGCCTATGATTATCCCCCCACCAACGGCGCACAGCTCTCATCTTCATGGATGGACCCAGTAGACATACCTTATAATCGTTCCTCCGCAGATCAACAAGCACAAAGTCCTTCCCAGGAACTTTGTCCCCAGTCAACCAGTCGCGCACGTGCTCTTGCGATACAGGCGTCGCAATGGACTTGGGAGATGGGAAGGCGGCATGCCAAGGTTGTTCCTCTGTTGGAGGAGCGGGCGCGCTGGTGTTTGCCATGGTTTGCTAGGACGAGAGTCGCGCGGAGAAAAATAGTGAGTGAAGGCAGGTATACAAGTTGCTAGATGAAAAGTATGAGATTCGACCTGCTGAGTGTAATTTGTACCTTCTCAGCTGGTTCATAAGCAAGCTTGATGCTGTCATCTAAACTGGGCATCACATGATGCTGGAAAGCTTAATTGATGTAATGGCCCCACTGTTCTTGTCGACGAATGTCACTCGGTTGTGGTGATTGGCTTGTAGCCGATTTGGCATGTAGTGGATCCGAGTCCCTTCTAAGCTTCCATATTTTGATAAGATATGAGAAACAATTGCTTATGGACTTTTCTTATAAATATTTTAAGATGTGATCGGCTACAAGCCAATCACCACAACCGAGTGACATTCGTCGACAAGAACAGCGGGGCCATTACATCAATTAAGCTATTCCTGCCTGGACCAGTTTCTCAGACAGCATGGTTATAATCCAAGACCCCCTCCTGCAGCTAGACGGCTAAAGTCTCAGTTCTCTCTCCCTAAAAGCTGCCAGTAATTTTTCCCCAATCCGAGATTCATTGTCTAGAGCACTATCCCGTGCCCTTTTCTTCCTCTGTCAGTGAGGAAGATGATCACTTATGGGAGCCCTTCGATAAAGAAGTGCTAGCGCAGAACAATTGTTGTTGTTATTGTTTTATTTATAAGCTTCTTGCACTAAGCTATAAGATATCCAAATTCTGCCGGTATTGGCCTTTTTTCCAAGTTCAAAAGTAACTAATCGTCGGATCTGCCTGATCGCTTCACTCCCAGTCAGAATAAGCAAGTTGTCTTGTTGGAAGCAAGATGTCTTGCCTCGCTAAACCTACCACTTTAAATCAAAGCAAGTATTTATGTATAGTAATAACGTACATGTATAGCGAAAGCGCCAAACAAGCGAAAGCGCCAAAATGATGCGGTGACCAAACCCCCCAACTAAATGTTAAATTCCTCAACAACAAAACATGCCCCATAAAAACGATGAAAGCCAATTAGTGCTAGCTATCCAGGCTATGCAAAGCGACCCAAAGTTACGCCTTTGAGTTGCTGCTAGGATCTATTCTGTGGACCACCGCAAGCTAGGTCGTCGTCTAGAAGGTGTACCTTCACGACGCGATATCCAAGCCAACTCACGGAAATTAACTAACCTAGAGGAGTCCGTCCTTGTTCAGTATATACTCGACCTAGCTGCCAAAGGGTTTCCTCCTCGGCTGTCTGTTGTTGAAGATATGGCAAGTCGACTACTTGCAACACGCGACGCGTCACGCGTTGGGTCGCGTTGGGCTTCAAACTTTGTTAAGCGGCGTGTAGAGCTCCAGACACGCTTTCAGCGCAAATACGACTACCAGAGGGCTAAGTGCGAAGATCCAGAAGTTATTAATGGCTGGTTTGAGCTTGTGTGTAACACAATTGCGAAATATGGTATCGATGAAGCAGATATCTACAACTTTGATGAGACTGGGTTTATGATGGGCGTTATCTCAACTGCTATGGTTGTAACAAGCTCAGACGGGCGGGCAAAAGCAAAGAAGGTACAGCCTGGTAATCGGGAATGGGTTACAGTAATCCAAGGCGTTAGTTCTCAAGGTTGGGCAGTACCACCATTTATCATTGTTGCAGGCAAAAACCACCTTACATCTTGGTATGAGAATAGTGGATTTTCAAGCGATTGGGTGATTTCTGTTACTGAAAATGGCTGGACTACAAACGAGAGAGGCATGGATTGGATTCAGCACTTTGAGAAGCATACAAAGGCCCAGAGTGTTGGTGGTTATCGCTTGTTAGTCCTTGATGGTCATGAGAGCCACCACTCAGATGAGTTTGAGGAGTACTGCAAGGAACACAACATTATTACGCTTTGTATGCCTGCTCACTCTTCTCATCTACTCCAGCCACTTGATGTTGGCTGTTTCGGCCCGTTAAAGCAGGCCTATGGTCGGCAAATTGAAGATATGATGCAGGCTCATATTTCTCATATTACAAAGGATGACTTCTTTCCTGCCTTCCACGCTGCATTTAACACTACAATGACGGAAAGTAACATTCGAGTCGGGTTCCGAGGGGCAGGGCTTCTTCCATTTGACCCTGAGAGAGTGATATCTACACTTGATCTTAAGTTAAGGACACCAACGCCTCCAAGCTCCCGCCCAGGTACTGCTCAACCTTGGGTTTCTCAGACACCAAACAACCCAATTGAAGCTATGTCACAGTCTACATTTATTAAAACTCAGATTTCACGCCATCAAAATAGCTCTCCAACCTCAATCTATGCAGCTGTTGACCAGTTTACAAAGGATGCATCGCAAATAATGCATCAATTAGCACTGCTAAAGGGAGAGAACCAAAACCTACGACAGGCAAATGAAGTACTAAGCAAGCGCCGGAGAGCTAGGAAAACATGACTACAGCAAGGAGGATCACTTAGTCAACAAGGGGCGCAAGAGCTACAGGATGAGAGGGATGTTGTGCAGCAGGTAGAGCAGGAAATAAGGGCAAGCCGTGGTCGGAAGCCAAGGGAAGAAACCCGTGCCCGTCACTGTGGCAAGTGTGGTGAGACTGGGCACAATGCGCGCACGTGTCAGATTGTAATAGACACCTCTGAGGAAGAGGACTCCGAGTAGTTTCAATTGATTTCTAATGTTGTGGTAGATTTATCGCAATGTTTGTCATGAGTGTAGATAATTTTGGCGCTTTCGCTTGTTTGGCGCTTTCGCTATACATGTACGTTATATAGTGTAAGGTACTTCATTCAATTTAATCTTGTAGAAATGTAGTATATCTTTGAAACCATTCTTCAACTACTGGTTCATCATGTGCTGTTGTTCACTGTCACCATATAGGCTTTGTAGTAATTGTATGAAATTCAGAAAGCTCATGTTAGACAAATTTTCTCATCCAACTATCTGATAGTGGTGGTAATAGATCACATATATGACAGAGACCAGCATATATCATCTGTTTTGTAGCACCTGCTCCATTCTCGTATTGCTGATGTATCCATTGTTTGATTGCGACAACTTAAGTGTTTGATAATAGCTTATTGTGCCCTCTATGCTGTTCTTGTTGAGCTGTTGTGTTCGTTTCTCAGAGGATTGATCAACGTAGGGTATCTGCTTTTTGAAAATAGTTGCAGTAGTAGAAACTAATTCAGAAGGATTATTGTCGTCGATAATGGAGTTTCAAGGATGCGATTATTCCTTGATCTAGAGGCTGCTAGTGAGAGGTAGTATTTGGCAGAAGCCATCGAATCTTGACATTTTCAAGGCTGTCTAGCCCTCCTGTCTTTTGGACACTGAGTTCATGGCCTGAAAAGTTGTTCAGGAGTAAGATGACCTTCTCTCCATGCATCTTATTATCAAACCACCATAGGAAACGCTTGCATATGACCCCTGTTATCCACTTAGTCTTATTGTACTTACAGACTATTCGAAGTTTTTGTCAATTCTTATATGCTTGAGACAATGTGGATTCTTTGATCCACCAATTACCTAGGGCTATAGTTTCTCTAATCCATCCGTATTTGCTGTTAAGACAAGTGTAATACGGTCCTTGCTTGTAATGGTGGGTGCACCAGATGTGAGAATCTAGCCACCCAAGGAAGGGATGAATTTACTAAGACAACACACTGTCTTAGGAAACAGAGCCAAAGGGTCGTAGCTTAGACTATTCCACAACGCAGCAATCAGGTGTGTGATGTAGTGAAGTGGTTCATACAAGTTGCAACAAATGTTGAGTCTGGGAACTCAGGGGTAAGTCAGAGGTTAGCACCTCGCTGACTTTTCAGAAACAAGGAGTAACAAGATCAATGCTTGGAAGCTTGGAAAAGACGTGGAAGTATGTGATAGTCGATTTACTGTATTGTCTGCTTGCCCTTTCTTAAGGAAAGGGCAATCCTATTTATGCTAAAGGAGTGTAGTTCTCTCATTTTCCAAGACTTTCCATGACTAACCAGGCTTGGTAACTGTAGTCAACGTAAGAATCCCATAGAACCATCTCCTAGGTTCCTAGCCTATAGGAAGTGAAAGGAGGTCCAAGGTCAGAGTACCCCTATAGACAAATTATGCCATAACTTAACCAATCTTGTGGGTAACTAAGGAGCGATGACATGTAATGAATCATAGAGGGTTGTAGCAATCGTTGAATAGTATTGCTCTTGTTGTTGGTGTATAAACCAAAATATGTATAGTGACTTGTAGGTTTGAGGAGGAGATTTCTAAGTTTGCTCTTGAGTTTGATAGCAAACTGAGTGCAACGAATGTCAGTATGACAGGTATGCACCTTAGTAGACAGAAGGGTCATCTTATAGGCCATCTGCTCTATACCCTTTGCTAATGCAGCAACTATGTTAAAGAGTAGAGTTAGTAAGCTCCCTTAATGACAGGCAATCTGATTTCGAACAAGGGTTGTTTATAAAAGACCTTTAGTTAGGTTAGAAGGTATCTAGGAGACCTAAGGGTTAGTGTTAGCAGTAGAGAGTCTAGAGGGAGTTACTAGTAGAGGGTCTAGAGGTACTTCGAGTCTGTAACCTTATGTTAAGCTTTAAAAGCACTGCTTATAGGTTAAAAGGCACTAAGCTAGCTCTATGGGTCTAGAATAGTTGAAACACTTTGACAAACATACTGCTACTCATATAAGGGGTCTATATCAAATACTAGTGTTAGATAGGCATAAGAGACACTCATTAACTCCTTGTATGCTGTTATAAAGGCTAGAAAGAACTCTACCTTTATAATGTAGTTGATATAGGCCTTAATAAAGGCTAAGAGTAATAATGTTATATATCTTGTAGTATCTTAGAACTTAGCTAATTTGTGGCTCTTATGCATCTAACACTAGTATTTGATATAGACCCCTTATATGAGTATCTCATTATTTGTCTATCTATTGCTTATTAGTTTAACAACCTGGTTAGGAGGGAGGCTACTGTCTATATAATAATTTAAAAGGTGGTTCTTACCCTAAACCACTAGAAATAGAGGAACACTCTA